CTCCTCCACAAAGTTCTCCGGATACGGGGTCTCGCGGATGGCAGCATTACCGGTCATGGCCATATACAACAAGGCCTGGTTGAGTTCCTCCATACGAGACATGGCAAACTCCTTGTGAAACAGATGTCTACAGTTTTTCATCGCATTGTACTGTCCCTCCTTCACCAAGCAGCGATTGGTCATCTCATGGACCAAGTTGGCCTCCGCCACGTACACGTCTCTCTCCCGCTCCAGCCAATTCTTGAACGCTAGGTAGTGATAATAATCGGTGTACTTGCCGTCTACAGGGGGTGGGACCTTGGCGTTGACGTACTTGGTCCTCGGCCACCGCCACGACGCCCACCAGTACTCCTCCGGGCAGGGGTTCGGACGTGTGTGCGAGTCGACATAGGTGCGAGGTCGCAGCGGCACCACCGGACTAAGAATGTAGTCCAGCACGCCACTGTACTTCCGCTCGAGGGAACTTCCTAAGGAGGGCATGTCGGGATCCTGCCCCCACTGCAGCTGCAACGCACGGGAGAACATTTCCACCGCCGTACGTGGTGGGGGCATCCCCTTCTGCGTGTCATAGTAGGGCAAGTTATCCATGTAATCTTGTGACGCCATGGACGGAGCAGGAATCTTCTCGTACGGGGCTGCCATCCCATCGTACGGTACACGCTTCAGCTCATGGCTGCCGCTGTCGTGATGATCACCACCCATATCTACTCAAATAAAACAAACTAACTACTAAGCTATAAAGAACCAACAAAAAAAGCCGGCCGATACAACTATATCCTCCACTATTCCTTTATTGAAAATAGAAGAAAGAAGACAGAATCAATGGAACCACGTGAAAAGATCGTACAACAAACCCTACAGTCAACCAACACACACAAAAAAAAAAAACGCATGCCCCTACCTTCGTCTCCTTACAGATAACGCCACTAAATCAACGAAAACAAAAACAATAAAAAGATAAAATCAATGAAAAACAAAAACAAAACACAAGAAATATAAACATTCAAACTTCAATAAACATCATACCGCCACGCAGGCGGAGCACGAGGTGCAGCGTCGACTCCTTCTGGATGTTGTAGTCCGCGAGCGTGCGGCCCTCCTCCAGCTGCTTGCCAGCGAAAATGAGGCGCTGCTGGTCAGGAGGAATGCCCTCCTTGTCCTGGATCTTCGCCTTCACGTTCTCGATCGTGTCGCTCGCCTCCACCTCGAGGGCAATCGTCTTGCCGGTCAGCGTCTTCACGAAGATCTGCATACCGCCACGCAGGCGGAGCACGAGGTGCAGCGTCGACTCCTTCTGGATGTTGTAGTCCGCGAGCGTGCCGGCCCTCCTCCAGCTGCTTGCCAGCGAAAATGAGGCGCTGCTGGTCAGGAGGAATGCCCTCCTTGTCCTGGATCTTCGCCTTCACGTTCTCGATCGTGTCGCTCGCCTCCACCTCGAGGGCAATCGTCTTGCCGGTCAGCGTCTTCACGAAGATCTGCATACCGCCGCGCAGGCGGAGCACGAGGTGCAGCGTCGACTCCTTCTGGATGTTGTAGTCCGCGAGCGTGCGGCCCTCCTCCAGCTGCTTGCCAGCGAAAATGAGGCGCTGCTGGTCAGGAGGAATGCCCTCCTTGTCCTGGATCTTCGCCTTCACGTTCTCGATCGTGTCGCTCGCCTCCACCTCGAGGGCAATCGTCTTGCCGGTCAGCGTCTTCACGAAGATCTGCATACCGCCACGCAGGCGGAGCACGAGGTGCAGCGTCGACTCCTTCTGGATGTTGTAGTCCGCGAGCGTGCGGCCCTCCTCCAGCTGCTTGCCAGCGAAAATGAGGCGCTGCTGGTCAGGGGGAATGCCCTCCTTGTCCTGGATCTTCGCCTTCACGTTCTCGATCGTGTCGCTCGCCTCCACCTCGAGGGCAATCGTCTTGCCGGTCAGCGTCTTCACGAAGATCTGCATACCGCCACGCAGGCGGAGCACGAGGTGCAGCGTCGACTCCTTCTGGATGTTGTAGTCCGCGAGCGTGCGGCCCTCCTCCAGCTGCTTGCCAGCGAAAATGAGGCGCTGCTGGTCAGGAGGAATGCCCTCCTTGTCCTGGATCTTCGCCTTCACGTTCTCGATCGTGTCGCTCGCCTCCACCTCGAGGGCAATCGTCTTGCCGGTCAGCGTCTTCACGAAGATCTGCATACCGCCACGCAGGCGGAGCACGAGGTGCAGCGTCGACTCCTTCTGGATGTTGTAGTCCGCGAGCGTGCGGCCCTCCTCCAGCTGCTTGCCAGCGAAAATGAGGCGCTGCTGGTCAGGGGGAATGCCCTCCTTGTCCTGGATCTTCGCCTTCACGTTCTCGATCGTGTCGCTCGCCTCCACCTCGAGGGCAATCGTCTTGCCGGTCAGCGTCTTCACGAAGATCTGCATACCGCCACGCAGGCGGAGCACGAGGTGCAGCGTCGACTCCTTCTGGATGTTGTAGTCCGCGAGCGTGCGGCCCTCCTCCAGCTGCTTGCCAGCGAAAATGAGGCGCTGCTGGTCAGGGGGAATGCCCTCCTTGTCCTGGATCTTCGCCTTCACGTTCTCGATCGTGTCGCTCGCCTCCACCTCGAGGGCAATCGTCTTGCCGGTCAGCGTCTTCACGAAGATCTGCATACCGCCACGCAGGCGGAGCACGAGGTGCAGCGTCGACTCCTTCTGGATGTTGTAGTCCGCGAGCGTGCGGCCCTCCTCCAGCTGCTTGCCAGCGAAAATGAGGCGCTGCTGGTCAGGAGGAATGCCCTCCTTGTCCTGGATCTTCGCCTTCACGTTCTCGATCGTGTCGCTCGCCTCCACCTCGAGGGCAATCGTCTTGCCGGTCAGCGTCTTCACGAAGATCTGCATACCGCCACGCAGGCGGAGCACGAGGTGCAGCGTCGACTCCTTCTGGATGTTGTAGTCCGCGAGCGTGCGGCCCTCCTCCAGCTGCTTGCCAGCGAAAATGAGGCGCTGCTGGTCAGGGGGAATGCCCTCCTTGTCCTGGATCTTCGCCTTCACGTTCTCGATCGTGTCGCTCGCCTCCACCTCGAGGGCAATCGTCTTGCCGGTCAGCGTCTTCACGAAGATCTGCATACCGCCACGCAGGCGGAGCACGAGGTGCAGCGTCGACTCCTTCTGGATGTTGTAGTCCGCGAGCGTGCGGCCCTCCTCCAGCTGCTTGCCAGCGAAAATGAGGCGCTGCTGGTCAGGGGGAATGCCCTCCTTGTCCTGGATCTTCGCCTTCACGTTCTCGATCGTGTCGCTCGCCTCCACCTCGAGGGCAATCGTCTTGCCGGTCAGCGTCTTCACGAAGATCTGCATACCGCCACGCAGGCGGAGCACGAGGTGCAGCGTCGACTCCTTCTGGATGTTGTAGTCCGCGAGCGTGCGGCCCTCCTCCAGCTGCTTGCCAGCGAAAATGAGGCGCTGCTGGTCAGGAGGAATGCCCTCCTTGTCCTGGATCTTCGCCTTCACGTTCTCGATCGTGTCGCTCGCCTCCACCTCGAGGGCAATCGTCTTGCCGGTCAGCGTCTTCACGAAGATCTGCATACCGCCACGCAGGCGGAGCACGAGGTGCAGCGTCGACTCCTTCTGGATGTTGTAGTCCGCGAGCGTGCGGCCCTCCTCCAGCTGCTTGCCAGCGAAAATGAGGCGCTGCTGGTCAGGAGGAATGCCCTCCTTGTCCTGGATCTTCGCCTTCACGTTCTCGATCGTGTCGCTCGCCTCCACCTCGAGGGCAATCGTCTTGCCGGTCAGCGTCTTCACGAAGATCTGCATACCGCCACGCAGGCGGAGCACGAGGTGCAGCGTCGACTCCTTCTGGATGTTGTAGTCCGCGAGCGTGCGGCCCTCCTCCAGCTGCTTGCCAGCGAAAATGAGGCGCTGCTGGTCAGGGGGAATGCCCTCCTTGTCCTGGATCTTCGCCTTCACGTTCTCGATCGTGTCGCTCGCCTCCACCTCGAGGGCAATCGTCTTGCCGGTCAGCGTCTTCACGAAGATCTGCATACCGCCGCGCAGGCGGAGCACGAGGTGCAGCGTCGACTCCTTCTGGATGTTGTAGTCCGCGAGCGTGCGGCCCTCCTCCAGCTGCTTGCCAGCGAAAATGAGGCGCTGCTGGTCAGGAGGAATGCCCTCCTTGTCCTGGATCTTCGCCTTCACGTTCTCGATCGTGTCGCTCGCCTCCACCTCGAGGGCAATCGTCTTGCCGGTCAGCGTCTTCACGAAGATCTGCATACCGCCACGCAGGCGGAGCACGAGGTGCAGCGTCGACTCCTTCTGGATGTTGTAGTCCGCGAGCGTGCGGCCCTCCTCCAGCTGCTTGCCAGCGAAAATGAGGCGCTGCTGGTCAGGAGGAATGCCCTCCTTGTCCTGGATCTTCGCCTTCACGTTCTCGATCGTGTCGCTCGCCTCCACCTCGAGGGCAATCGTCTTGCCGGTCAGCGTCTTCACGAAGATCTGCATACCGCCACGCAGGCGGAGCACGAGGTGCAGCGTCGACTCCTTCTGGATGTTGTAGTCCGCGAGCGTGCGGCCCTCCTCCAGCTGCTTGCCAGCGAAAATGAGGCGCTGCTGGTCAGGGGGAATACCCTCCTTGTCCTGGATCTTCGCCTTCACGTTCTCGATCGTGTCGCTCGCCTCCACCTCGAGGGCAATCGTCTTGCCGGTTAAAGTCTTCACAAAAATCTGCATGTTCGGTAAAAATGAGTGTCGGTTTTGGTTGAATGAATGTATTTCTGGGAAGAATAAGACTAACGTGAGGAAACAAATGAAGAGAGGGAGAAAGGAAGTAGTATGGGGATCATGTTGGGAGAGTGCGGCAGCAGCACAACCGGAAGGGGTATGCGGGGAGGTAGCAGGCTGCGGGAAGTGACGCGGCGGAGAGACAGCAGTAGAAGGTCAGACGCGTGTGTTATGTAGGTAGCTAGTACACGCAGTTCTAAGTCAAGTGCTAACGGGTTCATACAAATGCCTCGATTTTTGACATCATGAAGAGGAGGGCAGGAGGGCCAAGCAGTCGTTCTCACCCCCGGTGTAGACAAGCGGTTTGCGGAAATGACTTTAGGAGACCGCTTGCTATTAACAAGGGTTGGGCAGCGCGTGGACGAGTGTAGAAGAGACGAACAGAACAAGCAGTGGAGAAGAATAAAGAGGAGGGAGGAAAGCAGAAAGAAGGTTCAGATTTACTATCTAACGTTATTCCTTGATGGATCATCAACGCTGAATATTCAGTTTTCCCGAGTTACAAATTAAAGACATTTCTCATCATCGGTGGGGCGCAGTTCGGCACGCACGTACGTACGCGGCACAACAGCAATAAGCAGTGGTACAAGTAATCTGGGGTAGCACAGGTGCAGACCTAGTGACGGAGTATATATAACACTGTGTCTGTGTTTTCGCCAACCGCTAATATCATGGGGAGCATACAACGCTACGTGGTAATAGGTACGAATAACCAAGCTTGCTGATATGTTATACAGAGACGCACTAACGTGCTGGTGATGGAGGGAAAAGGAAAAAGAGAGACAGGGAGATGAAAGACAGAGGAGACACACACACAAAAAAAAAAAAATAACATACACCAACGCCGGAAATATGGAAGAACGAGAAGGTATACGTGATAATGTTTGAGTGGGGGAGAACGCTAAATGGGGATAAAGAAAAAAAGAAGAGAAAAAAAAAAAGGAACGTTGCCTAACGAAGGGAGTTAACTCTTCTTACGCTAGTTGTTCATTCACAAGGTTGGCATACACAAAGCCAACGTGTCCTTTGACACCGTAGGGAAGACCTCGTTCGTCTACCCGGAACTTGGTGCTGTGAGGTATGTGCACGATGCCTTCCGCTTCATTACCCGTACCCAAGAAACAGAAGCATCCGGGCACGTGACGAAGGTAGGAGGAGAAATCCTCCCCACCAAAAAGTGGATAAGGTGGGACAATAATATTGGTAGCGCCCACTGTTTTTTCCGCCACGCGAATGACAGTTGCGGTCACCTCCTTGTCGTTCACCACCATATCGTAACCTTTTTTGAACTCGAGGGAATACTCCAGTCCATGCGCGCTCGTCACACCTTTAAGAATACGCTCCATCTCCGTCATGGCGAGGGTGCGCACATCATAATCATGGGAACGCATGGTGCCCAGCATTTTGACGCGGTCAGGAATCACATTATGGCTCTCATTGGGTCCTGTGGTGATGGTCGGTATCGTTATCACAGGTGCCAGTTTGGGGTCCACCTTACGCGACACAATCGTCTGAAGCGCCAGAACCACCTCCGCCGCAACGGGCACGGGGTCCTTGGAGAGATGAGGCTGTGAGGCATGCCCACCTTTACCAATAATCTGTATGGTGTAAGAATCACTGGTGCCCATCAGCACCCCTTCCTTTAGACACACAAAACCAACTGGTAAATTTGGTGCCACATGTATTCCAAATATGCACTTGATGCCTTCCATCACCCCCAACTCACACAGCTCCACTGCCCCGCCAGGATGACGTTCCTCGGCGTGCTGAAAAACAAATCGTACCTTTCCTTTCAGTAGGTCGCAGTGGCCGCAGAGCACTCTGGCCGCACCGAGGAGCATCGCCGTATGTGCGTCGTGTCCACAGGCATGCATCACGTTGTCCACCTTTGACTTAAACGGCTCGCATGTATCTTCCATCAGCGGTAGCGCGTCGATGTCCGCCCTCAACGCCACAAAAGGGCCTTCACCGCCACTTCCCGTTAAATCGGCGACAACCGCATTCGGTTTTGGCTGCCAGATCTTCAGCGCCGCGCAATCAAAACTCTCCAATATACCCTTAATATACTTTGCGGTTTCAAACTCATTGTTGGACAGTTCTGGATGTTCGTGGATATGACGCCGCCATGACACAACGTCACCGGCGACCCCCTCGCACTCTTTCATCAACTCCTCAAATTTACCAGACATCACAAAAAACCTGCAAAAGTCTCTTCTAGTAATAACCATATAAAAAAAAAAAAAAAAACATAGAGGGAAAAGAGCAAGAAATCAACCGACCGACACCAAACAACAAGAATAAAGTCACCACACTCACAGCAGCACCCACGAAAAAAACAAAACCGTAAACACTTCCACATTAATGTACGAATACATCAATCTATATATACGCAATGACGCTCCAAAAAAAAAAAAATAGAAACAAACTCAAACAACAACAAACATCATACCGCCACGCAGGCGGAGCACGAGGTGCAGCGTCGACTCCTTCTGGATGTTGTAGTCCGCGAGCGTGCGGCCCTCCTCCAGCTGCTTGCCAGCGAAAATGAGACGCTGCTGGTCAGGAGGAATGCCCTCCTTGTCCTGGATCTTCGCCTTCACGTTCTCGATCGTGTCGCTCGCCTCCACCTCGAGGGCATCGTCTTGCCGGTCAGCGTCTTCACGAAGATCTGCATACCGCCACGCAGGCGGAGCACGAGGTGCGCGTCGACTCCTTCTGGATGTTGTAGTCCGCGAGCGTGCGGCCCTCTCCAGCTGCTTGCCAGCGAAAATGAGACGCTGCTGGTCAGGAGGAATGCCCTCCTTGTCCTGGTCTTCGCCTTCACGTTCTCGATCGTGTCGCTCGCCTCCACCTCGAGGGCATCGTCTTGCCGGTCAGCGTCTTCACGAAGATCTGCATCCGCCGCGCAGGCGGAGCACGAGGTGCAGCGTCGACTCTTCTGGATGTTGTGGTCCGCGGGGGGGCGGCCCCCCCCGCTGCTTGCCAGCGAAAATGGCGCTGCTGGTCAGGGGCTCCCTTCGATCTTCGCCCGCTCTCGTGCTCCCGGCTGGCAATCGTCTTGCCGGTCGTCTTCACGAATCTCATACGCCGCGCAGGCGGAGCACGAGGTGCAGCGTCGACTCCTTCTGGATGTTGTAGTCCGCGAGCGTGCGGCCCTCCTCCAGCTGCTTGCCAGCGAAAATGAGACGCTGCTGGTCAGGAGGAATGCCCTCCTTGTCCTGGATCTTCGCCTTCACGTTCTCGATCGTGTCGCTCGCCTCCACCTCGAGGGCAATCGTCTTGCCGGTCAGCGTCTTCACGAAGATCTGCATACCGCCACGCAGGCGGAGCACGAGGTGCAGCGTCGACTCCTTCTGGATGTTGTAGTCCGCAAGCGTGCGGCCCTCCTCCAGCTGCTTGCCAGCGAAAATGAGACGCTGCTGGTCAGGAGGAATGCCCTCCTTGTCCTGGATCTTCGCCTTCACGTTCTCGATCGTGTCGCTCGCCTCCACCTCGAGGGCAATCGTCTTGCCGGTCAGCGTCTTCACGAAGATCTGCATACCGCCACGCAGGCGGAGCACGAGGTGCAGCGTCGACTCCTTCTGGATGTTGTAGTCCGCAAGCGTGCGGCCCTCCTCCAGCTGCTTGCCAGCGAAAATGAGGCGCTGCTGGTCAGGAGGAATGCCCTCCTTGTCCTGGATCTTCGCCTTCACGTTCTCGATCGTGTCGCTCGCCTCCACCTCGAGGGCAATCGTCTTGCCGGTCAGCGTCTTCACGAAGATCTGCATACCGCCACGCAGGCGGAGCACGAGGTGCAGCGTCGACTCCTTCTGGATGTTGTAGTCCGCGAGCGTGCGGCCCTCCTCCAGCTGCTTGCCAGCGAAAATGAGGCGCTGCTGGTCAGGGGGAATGCCCTCCTTGTCCTGGATCTTAGTAATGGTATTTCGCCTTCACGTTCTCGATCGTGTCGCTCGCCTCCACCTCGAGGGCAATCGTCTTGCCGGTCAGCGTCTTCACGAAGATCTGCATACCGCCGCGCAGGCGGAGCACGAGGTGCAGCGTCGACTCCTTCTGGATGTTGTAGTCCGCGAGCGTGCGGCCCTCCTCCAGCTGCTTGCCAGCGAAAATGAGGCGCTGCTGGTCAGGAGGAATGCCCTCCTTGTCCTGGATCTTCGCCTTCACGTTCTCGATCGTGTCGCTCGCCTCCACCTCGAGGGCAATCGTCTTGCCGGTTAAAGTCTTCACAAAAATCTGCATGTTCGGTAAAAATGAGTGTTGGTTTTGATTGAATGAATGTACTTCTGGGAAGAATAAGACTAGCGTGAGTGAACAAATGAAGAGAGAAAGAAAGGAAGTAGTGTGGGGATCATGTTGGGAAAGTGCGGCAGCAGCACAACCGGAAGGGGTATGCGGGGAGGTAGCAGGCTGCGGGAAGTGATGCGGCGGAGAGACAGCAGTAGAAGGTCAGACGCGTGTGTTATGTAGGTAGCTAGTACACGCAGTTCTAAGTCAAGTGCTAACGGGTTCATACAAATGCCTCGATTTTTGACATCATGAAGAGGAGGGCAGGAGGGCCAAGCAGTCGTTCTCACCCCCGGTGTAGACAAGCGGTTTGCGGAAATGACTTTAGGAGACCGTTTGCTATTAACAAGGGTTGGGCAGCGCGCGGACGAGCGTAGAAGAAACGAACAGAACAAGCAGTGGAGAAGAATAAAGAGGAGGGAGGAAAGCAGAAAGAAGGTTCAGATTTACTATCTAACGTTATTCCTTGATGGATCATCAACGCTGAATATTCAGTTTTCCCGAGTTACAAATTAAAGACATTTCTCATCATCGGTGGGGCGCAGTTCGGCACGCACGTACGTACGCGGCACAACAGCAATAAGCAGTGGTACAAGTAATCTGGGGTAGCACAGGTGCAGACCTAGTGACGGAGTATATATAACACTGTGTCTGTGTTTTCGCCAACCGCTAATATCATGGGGAGCATACAACGCTACGTGGTGGCAGTCGTCAAACGTCAAGCAAAACCGCAGCAGTTAACGTCCCACGTCGTGATATTTCCTATATTCATCGAACTTGCTAGCCACGTATCATAAATGGCACATCACCTCGACTTTTCACAAAAGAAAAAAGGGGGGAAGCGACGTAAAACGGGCACAAGTCACAGAAACAAAAAAAAAGAGCTATCCATAACCACTCATGAACCTACTTTTCATAATAGTGTACCAAAACACAAACAAGAACAAAAAAAAAAAATAACTTACCATTATATAAACATCCGGTCCGGAGACAACGCATTAGGTGCTGCGTCGACTCCTTCTGGATGTTGTAGTCCGCGAGCGCTCCCTCGCCCAGCTGCTTGCCAGCGAAACTAAGGCGCTGCAAGTGAGGCGGGATGCCCCTCGATCTGGGTCTTCGCCTTCGCGTTCTCCTCAGCCTCAAGAGCAACCGTCTTGCTGATCAGCGTCTTCACAAAACTGTGCACCCCCACTCACCCGGGGCACGAGGTGCAGCGTCGACTCCTTCTGGATGTTGTGGTCCGCAAGCAGCTGGAGGAGGGACGAACGCTCGCCAGCGAAAATAAGCCGCTGCAAGTGAGGCGAAACGCCCTCCCTCCTCTGGACCTCCGCCTTCACGTTCTCGATCGTGTCGCTCGCCTCCACCTCGAGGGCAATCGTCTT